GGGCTGAGTTTTAGTTTGAAAACCCCAGGGCTGAGCTTTAGTCTGAAAACCCCAGGGCTGAGTTTTAGTTTGAAAACCCCAGGGCTGAGTTTTAGCTAACCTGGGTCCTGTCACATGACCTCCATGAAGAAATCCACCATCATCAGCCTCCAGAGTAAAACATGGAGAGTGTTTCTGTCCCGGATCAGTTCTGTATTTCACAATGATTCAACTGTTTACATGTTTAATGTGCACACCAGCACGTGCATGCCCAGTGCACGCGTGTTAAGTCCGTCAGCGGGAGTTGAGCTGTGATGTCTGAGGCTGCGGGACAGATTGACTCCTGTGAGCTCTGAACAGTGTGTTCTTACTGTGTAGCTCCAGAGAGACCAGAGCAGAGACGACGTCCCGGCTGCAGACGTCAGACAGGTTGGTTCGGCTCTGACTGGACCGTAGACTAACTGACTGACCACATGTTTCCCCCCCGTCACAAACTAAATGTTCACTGGACGTGTCCTCCCTCTCCCCTTCAACACGGATTTTCTGCCTCCATGCAACCTAACCAGCTGCAGGATCTCAGGGTTCACTTCCAACCTCACGTCTCTGTCTCTTCGTCTCTCGCAGACCGGAACTCTGAGGTTTTGTGGTACGACCGAGTTTGCCAGCGGCCAGTGGGTCGGCGTGGAGCTGGACGAGCCCGAGGGAAAGAACGACGGCAGCGTGGGCGGCGTCCGCTACTTCATCTGCCCTCCTAAACTAGGTAACAGCAGCTGCCACAGTGCCTTCGAGCTAATTCACCTTCGTTCGACGAAGGTGGGATCATAAAGGTGAAGGAGAACAGCGAGGACTAAAGAGGAACATGGTGAACATCAACCACTCCAGCACCAGCACTGGGGAAGTGATTCTAAGGTTGTGGGTTCGAGTCCCACCAGAGTCACCAGTCACCCAGACAGAAGCAGCTCACATGATGACCTGTGTCTCCGTCTCTTTGTCTGTGTCGCAGGGATTTTTGCGCCGGTGTCAAAGATTTCCAAGGCTGCGGTGGACCACACGCCTTCCTCCGTCACCTCCACCCCCCGGACCCCCCGCATGGACCTGGCCTCCCGCCTCGCTGGGAAGACCAAGAAGGAGAAAGAGAAGAAGGAAAAGGAGAGAGCGAAAGGTAATGTAGTCTAATATTTAGAGGGGCGGGACATGTGTCATGTGTCTCTGCTGTTATTTACTTTTCTCTCAGAATCCTTGAAGTACTTTTCTCCATTCTAGGAATATTAATACTTGTATATGTTGTAGTTTTAAGTATCATGGTTGTGTTTTCGGGGCGTTCGCAGCCCAGAGGAAGAAGTCTTCAGTCGCCAGTCTGGATCCGGAGGGCATGAACGTGGAAGTTGGGGATCAGGTTCTGGTGGCCGGACAGAAACACGGCATCGTCCGCTTCTACGGCAAAACGGACTTTGCTCCAGGTCCGTGCAGGTTTTCTGTTCTACTCTTCGTAGGCTTGTTACCGAGGTAACGTGGAACGCTGATGAGCTGCTCGTGTTCCTGCAGGTTACTGGTTCGGGGTGGAGTTGGATCAGCCGACAGGAAAACACGACGGCTCGGTGTTTGGAGTCCGTTACTTCAGCTGCCTGCCCAAATATGGCGTGTTTGCTCCGCCCTCCCGTGTCCAGAGGTAAGGTGGTGTGCAAAGTTCCAGGACGACACGTTTTTTAAATTAACGACAGCCGTAACGAAACGCGTCATGTTTTCAGTTTGTTCGTCCGTCCCACAAACTGTGAGCGGATTTATTTCAGTCGTCCATTTGGGCTCGAGAATGAAATGATGATTGAGGCGTTCAAAGGTCAAAGGTCACTGTGATGTCACATGTCACGTGTTGCTGTTTTGTCAGAATGGGCGGTCCTAAAGACGGCTCACACAGCGACAACTCCATGGTGAAGAAAGTTCATCAGGTCACCAGTGAGTATCTGTCGTCACTTAGACTCTGAGGCCGTTTTGACTCTTCGATGACGTTCTCTTCCTTATCAGTCACGTGACAGCAAGTCATTAACACAATGTCTGTCTGTGTCTGTCTGTGTCTCTGTGTGTCTGTCTCTGTCTGTGTCTCTGTCTGTGTGTCTGTGTGTCTGTGTGTCTGTCTGTCTCTCTGT